TGTAACTTCTGCTTGGGTATTTATGTACACCCAAACTTGCTCACAGCTTCTTCGCTTGCGTAACTTTTGCTTGGATATTTATGTACATCCAAACTTGCTCACAGCCTTTTTCTTGCATTGGATTTTTCTTTGTGACTTTCTGTCTCATAACTCGTGTTAGACCTGTGCATCTTGTAATTGAATTCCTCTGCTTGGAGCTTTTTGGCCTATGTGGCCTTCTCCCAAAAGTTTCTCAAGAGAAAGGTTAGTTTTCTTAAAAACACAATAACTTGCATGGTTATTAAGGTTGAAAATTAGAAAATAAAAAAGTAAATATACTTAGCTGGGATCGCAGCTTTCTTTTAAGATTTGTGCATGTAGAATTTTGATATGTCTATCTTGCCTTGCGAATGCAGAATTTGATTCATCATTTGATGTGGTTGAATGTGATTATAACAAAGCTTCTTCAAATATGGAGGTAGTTGTATTCTCCGTCTTTTAACAGAGTGCTTGCTTTTTATCTATCCAATCATGATAATGTTGCGTAGGTATTTGAGTCACATCATAATTGAGTTACTAGATTTTGGTATCCAGTGCATTCTTGCATGTGGCAGATGTTTGCTTATACATCTCTTGCAAGCGCATGTTTATTTATTAGGTGCAATATGACTATAAGTCTGAAAGTCTTGCAAACATGTACTCCTTTGTGGTAGTAGATCGCCTACGCATGATATCATCTTAAGATTTTCTCCTGCGCAAGTTCAAAGCAGAAACAAGCTATATAGATTTTGTTATCTTAATTTCTTTAAAGACATGAGAAACTTGTTAGTGCTTTCACGATCATAATTGATAAATTTATGAAAATAATTATTTAAATATTGTAAAAAAAATATGAAACTTATCTAGTAAGTTGTTAATTCGTTCCTGCGCAGCTTTTTGTTGAATGATGCAGAGTTATGCAAACAACGGTGCTTTAGGAATTCCAACAATCAAAATGTGTTTTCTTCCACTAGGCTTGGTCTCCTCGTAGCTTCTTCTCTTATGCTCCTTTACTTGGAGATCTTTCGCTTTGGTCTAACTTTTCAATTTTCACAACTTCATTATGGAATCTTGCTATGTAGGCTCTTAATGATTCTCTTGTCTTCTGTTTGATTGTTAGGAGATGATGGTTGGTCTTTCGAGGAGCTTAAGTCTACGCAGCTTCCCTGAAAGTTGCTGGAAATTGCTTGCATAATAGAGCATTCAAGGCTCCATATACCATCATTGCCATTTTATATCCTTGCACGTGCTCCACTGGGTTTTGAGTTCCATCGTATTCAGCTAGCTCTGCCTGCCTACTTCTGTTTTTGCCAGATGTTGTCGCCTGTTGTGGCAAATGTAGCCCTATGGACTTGCTGGCTATCCCTTCTTTAGCTTGAATGTGTGCAAGGTATCACATTTTTGCTTCGAAAATTATATTGAGTGAAAGTTAAGGATGGTTGCAGACTCGTTTCGATCATCAATTCTGTTGGTTTTGAAGGTACGTAACTTTCATCTTGATTGCTGTTTTCCTATGTTGAATCTTGCTCTTTCCTTTCTAATGTCTTGGCATTGCTTTGTGACAAGCGCTCACGCCTTACTTCTTGCGATGAGGTGTTAGCAGTTTTTGTCATGGATGCTATGGTTCACTCGATTGCTTTTAAACTTTGCCTCGTCTCTCCATGTCTTGTGTAAGTTTCTGTATTTGTGATGCCATGGTTGAATCTGATGGTTTTGTTTTATTAATAGTATGTCTTAGGTTTATTCTTGATGATGAAGAGTCACTCATTCTATCCTCGCTTCTGGAGCTCAGAATACTTCTACGAGATCGTGATCAATTTTTTGAATTTTCCATGTGGTATTCGTGGATTGAAAAGTGCCGGGCCCCACGGTAGGCGCCAAATGTTAACAGTAAAAAATAGAAAAGGTGGTAGAGAACCAAGATCTTTATTGATAAAGAGAGTTTACAATGAAGAGAGAATGATGATGGAAAATAATTTATCTCCTTAGGTTGATCCTAGAGGTATTTATAGGATACTTAAATATAGTTATTCTAGGAATACAATTTTATTTGATTAGTGTTTGGGATATTCTTATTCTAGTGGAATTTATCATATTCTACTTTTGATAGGACTATCTTTAAAATGCATTCACGTGTCCTAATTATCATAGGACTTGTTTTAGGGTATAACATTTATTAATTAAATCACAACTTTTTTAAGTTAATGTTTCTTTAGTTGAATTATAGTTTTTTTTTTTAAAAAAAAAATTTCAAAAAAAAAAGGGGGACACTAAATTTTTTTAAAAAGGACGTGTTATCTTCTTCCCCAAACCAATCTCCACCTCTTCCGAAGCAATAAATCTAGTACTTTCAATTACCTAAACCCAGAAATTTTAAGTGGATATTTTCATGAAATTTGGTTTTTTTTTTTTCTTGGCTGTGTGCATTTTTCAATTTTTCGTATATAATTGGAAAAATGGGTTAGGAGAATTGCAAATGAGACATGTTTAATGCTTCATTTGAAACACTTTTCCGAAAAGTTTTTCAACTTGATAGTGAAAAACTGTCGATTCCTTTATATTTGTTATTCTGTTTCTAATTTTTACTTTGATTTTCTTATGGATTTTGTGAGTTTGATGAATGTGTGGGATGGTGGGATGGAGTATGTTCTGTTGGATTTTAGAGCTTATGATTTTGGTGGGTTTGGCAAGAACTCAAATTCATTTTTACTAAAAGAGAGTAGAGACAAGACTGAACCATTGGAGCATATTTTCTTACTAAGCTTGTCTATCTGCCTGATCAAATCTTTGTTGGCCCAAAAGGGGCCAAAACATTCGGGCTAAAAAAATTGATATCTTAATATGCTCTCAGCACGTGTCAACTGGTTCATTTGAGCCATTTTTTAAGATAATTGTTTCAACTCATTTAGATTAAAATAATATTAATGTAATTTTTAGGAGACTTTGTTTAAGGTGTATGTGAGAAAATATTTTGTTTGATTGTTAAATATTTTTTAATTTTTTTTATATAAAATAATATTAATTGTAATAATATATTATTAACAAAATACAAAAAAAAAAGAAGCTTTATTATTGTACATGCTCGTACGTCTTTAACCACTAAAACGAGGCATTATTTGCTTCTTTTTTCCTTTTTCTCTCTCTCCCCTTTTTTTATTTTTTAATTGATCATATACAGCAATGAACATTCCTGGGGAGTCGGGGACTGGGGAAGGGTGTTACCGTGAAAGAAGGGCAATGTGGCTTTTTCAACACAGAAATGCTGGTGAATCAGGTCCAATTTTTTTGAAGTCCAAAACCAATGCCCATCAGTTTAGAGGCCCAAAGCCCATTGAACTGAATTGAAAACTAAAAGAGGGAAAAACCCAAAATGTTCCATTTTCTTCACACCTGCTGTACAATTAAATATTTCACTTCAATATTAGGGTTGGAGCAGTTTAGGGTGCGTTTTGAGGTTGTTGTGAAGTGCTGTAGTTTAAAGTTATTGTGCTATTTAATTATTTATATTTTAAAAATATTATAAATGAAATATGATAGATTTTATTAATTATTAATTAAATTTTAAAAAATATT